ACGCGAGCTGTGAGCGACGGAAGCGGTTTCCCCAGAGGAAAACGGGGGTTCGACTCCTCATAATTTCTGCTTGAAAGAGCATATATTTCTATTTTGGTTCGTGTTCACTTACCAAGGTTTAGCCCTCGGAAACGCATCCCTCCTTGAAGCTTGAAATTGAACCCCATGATGTAACGACAGAATTTGAGGGAAGATATTCACATCCTGGTGTTAGAAACTCCGCATGCTCAGACACACCCACAAGACGGAATCCATTCTGTAACTAACTGTTCAAGGAGCAGTGCAAAAATTCAGGCGCAGTGATCTGAACCTGAAGCGAATTTCATAGTGTGAAGGCCATAGTTAAGAAGATGAGATTTTATATTTGAAATCATAATTGCCACTGAGGAATCGTGAGGATGCCCGAGGTGCCCGAATACGGAGTGGGACAGCGAAAATTGAATGCATGCAGGTCCAGTGCGTGATTTATGTTTTAAAAAGGAAGACACAATGAGAAACGCCTTTTCCTGATCCATGAGGACAATAATTGGACCTCAGCAGGTTGTTTGAACCCAACTGAATTTATTTTTCTAGAATGTATCGACACCTTTACAAGTTGGGCTCGGGCCAAGATACTTACCAAGTCGAAAACACACAATCTTCATACGCTATGGATAGGGATTCCAAGGCAATTCGAAGGATTGTTACGCCCTCGTCGACAGAGGCTCCAACAATTTTAAAGAAACTCTTACGACGCTTGTTGAATGTCATTGGTTCTACTCTTGCAAACTTCGGTGACGGGTTTTTCGCTGGGATTTATAAGACGAGTCGTCGAGCGTTTAAAAGAAATCGTGCATAGACTGAGTAGCTGGAAGCTTGGGTCTCGAGTCGGAAAGGTAAGGTAAGGTAATTGGGCGGCGTTTCGCAGCATCTCCCACTGGGTGCGAATGCTCCAGCTCGTTGTACATGTTGGACCGATATCCCGTTCCTTCAGCCCGATCATATTCTTTGATTTACCACTCGAGTTTGTTACCAGGAAAATAAGACTGTGGGAATACACTTCAAGGATTGTTTTTCGTTCGGATAATATATGAAACCCGGTGGTGGCTGGATACAAAATTACAATGTTCAAAATAATCATCAACCGAGTCTACAGCTCAGGGGGGCTCTTGAAACAGGTGATACATGCCACTCGGAGGATACTCGGCTCGCCCAACCCTACTGGATGCTGCATCCCCACGAACTACTTGGTTCTTCATCGAGAAGTTTGCTGTGGTTTGGATCTGAGATATCTGCGATGAGGACCGGTCGAAAGGAAAATGAAGGATCCTCATCTTACATGCTGAGATGTCTGCGAAAATAATGACATGAGGATACATTGAAGAGGTAGATATTACGATAGCTCACATCCCCGCTTTCCCTTGCCATCGACGGCGTGATATACATGAATGATACCATCCGCGGGCAAATGACGAACACCGTCAGTGAAAAGAATTTCACCTTTAGAGGGGGACAGCCAAACGCTTGCGCTCGAGTAACCTGAATAACTATAGCGACGCGTGGGTTCCGATGGCAATTCCAAGATCATGACTGGTCTGTTGAGTAACCCCGGACGGCGCTCCGGCTGCACAAGAAATATCGGGTCATATTTGCTTGCTCCGGCGGCATCAGCGACCAATGCATCAGATGGGTGGCCATTATCAGCTTGCATATCTGTGAAGAAATCCGCGAAGCCATAGATAGGTTTCCCCTCGACCTTCGCGATGCGTCGTTTCACCGAAAGCACATTGCGTGGCGGGGAAATCAAGTCCCGTTTAATTCTTCCCAGCGCTGGCTCCGCCGTGTCGAAGGGGCGCACCGATGCCTCTTCACCGCCGGGGTTGTAAAGCCGATAGTAAACTGACACCGACCAGCGTGTTCAGTACGTCGTCTGTGGGTGACCAAAGAATCACTGCTCACGATAGGGCATATTTCCGACACCGTCCTCTTCGTCGGTGGATGGAGCGTTCAGTGGCTCTTTGGGGGCGGTGAGGAAGACAAGCGCCAAAGCTGTCTGGGCCGTCGCTCCAATGTCGCCCGTCAGGATGTCCACACGCCCATCCTTACCCATCGCAGTCCGGGCATCCTTCGTCTGAAAAAGGCCGGTAAGGGCACCGGTAGGGTCCGGGAGACCCTCAACCTGCACCAGCGCCCGCTTCAGCGATGCACTGGTGTGAGGTGGTGGGACCGATGTGGCCTTGATGCGTCCGAGGTAAGGATTGTCTCCGTATGGCTTCTGGCAGGGAAGAGCCCCATCCACAGCGTAGACATGGTAGTATACTGAAGGCGACGTTAGTAGCTGGCGGCAAGCCTCGTGTACTCCCCGCCTACCGTAGCGTGGCTCAGATGCCCTCCTACCAAGGTCATTGGGCTCCTCCGGACTGACACGGGAATACCCATTCTTTCCGTAGCGTGTCGAGGCATCTTCATAGCCGGGAGGCAAGTGTGAGTCCATGGGGTGGGTCGACATGAGGAGAAAGCGTGCCCTGATTAGTCCACCTTACCTCCGCAGCGAGTGATTGGTCGGACAATCCCGAGTTTGACCAATTTAACGTATGTACATTGTAGGAGTCTGTAAGCTATCAATGTGGAAATGTAGGACCAGAAATGCATTGCAGCCCCGCCGAGTACATACAACTTTAGTAGCATAGGCGTTCGGCCCGTTGACCGAACGCCTACTTGCCGCGTGAATGCCTATCGCGTGTGGATCAGCCATCACACCATCAATAGTGGCATGCCAGCAAAACAACCAAGTCCTTTCTTCAACAACCTCTTCAATATACCCGGGGACCTAACCAGAACACCAAACTTAACCATACCTAGCTTTTCTAACCCAAATTTAACCCAAACCTAACCCCCCCACGCACAGTGGATACAGAGTTGAGGGATTTAACTATTTTCGGCAACCAACGGCAAATCCATCACTCCGTGATGCGCTAGACATGATGGATAGGCGTTTGCGCCATCAATAGGCGTTCGGTCAACGGACCGAACCTAAAGTTGTCGTGCCTCAGCCCCGCGGAATTCCCTGACTATTACTGTGCAAAAGAGCTGCCATCGACCGTGGTAGTCACCCTCACCCGATGTAGGGTTGTTGATCGTAACCGTATTCGACAGTTCAACGGCAGCCATGAGGCGGCTGCCGTACCACAGCGTCGATTCCGTACATACGGCAGTCAGCAAAGGTAGAACGGATCAACAACGGATTAACACAAATGATACACGGCATCATGCCGACCGCTTGCGGATCACCATTGCCGCCCGCTCTTACCTTTCGTCGAGCTCCGGCAACCAATGGGGGTGCTGAATTCACAGCACATAAATCACCCCGTTCTCCAGCAATTCCTGGAACCCATTGAGACTGGCCACAGTTCTTGAATCTTGAATCTTGGCGGCTGACAAAGTCACTGGGATTTTGGCCCTGTTTTCTCCTTCGAGTCACCCATTCATGGTGTTCATTGATTCCTCAGGTAGATTTATAATCATTTGCAAACAGATATTTCCTTTGACAATTCCCATTCTTCCTGAAGTAAATTTGTCCTGCACGCGACTGATCCACCGGTGTGGAAAAATTAATTGCTATGCATACTATTAGGGCCTTTCACAGGAGCCGATTTCGGGCCTGATAATTTATTTCGTTCATTCAGTGCGGGCATAGGGATCACAGCTGTAAAGGAATCATGAAGGAAAGAAAAGGAAAGAATGCTGCCGTGGACCATGGTGGTCGCCCTCGGCCCATAGGATGTGGTTTGACTCAAGATGGAAGTGGAGGTTCAATTCCTCCCAGCGGCCTAATGAAGCGATCGTGTTATTTTTTTTTTCTTATGCGGTTACGAAGCAGATGATGCCTGCCAGGGAACGAAAAGTACTACTGCCGCGGACGGAGGTTAATTCACCCACTATATCATCACGGGGTTGCGAGATAGGGGGGTTGGAATCCTCCGGCGGCATGAATCGAATGGGACCACATTTATTTCGGGTGGATACGAGCCTGAGAGACTATTTAATCAAGGGCCAATTTTTCTCATTCACAGAGAGAAATGGCTGTACTCCTTCTCAGCGGGACCGGGAATAGAGTTGCCAGTTGGTTGAGAACCATCTATTATCATGCATAAATTAAATTTCATTCATTCAAGGAGTTGATAATGTCTGCAAAGGAAAGCCACAGTGGACCGTCGTGGTTGCCCTCATCTGATGTATATACCTGGGGGTTTCTCCTCACTTGAGAGGGAGGCGGAGGTTCGAATCCCCCCGGTGGCATACATCTATGTGCTGGTATGTTGTTTTTTCTTAAAATCATCCAGGTGCGAGTCAACTCATTGGAAACATTTTGTTGGGCGGTAATGCTGTTCTCGCTCACGCAGGGATGAACCTTCAGATTGCGCGACTTTGGTTGATCAGGTGAATATTGGAGTTAATTACCCTTCCATGCATTGTATTCGACGGCATAGATGGAAGACGCGAGATATTTTGCCATTCAGTCGGAGATGATGTTCTTTCTTACCCACACAAGTACTGGCTCGGTTGTGCGTGGCATGTCCAGGCCTACGTTTTGGACGGAGGAAGCTTGCGGATATGCAACGTCGATCCTTACGTGCTTACTTACATTTGGATTTCGTTCATCCAAAAGGTAGGTAATCACTGTGGAGGCAAGGGAAGAAATGCTGCTGTGGACCATAGAGGTCACCCTTGCCCACTTCGGGGACGCAGGTCTACAAGTATTTCCGAGGTAGGTGGAGGTTCAATTCCTCCCGGCGGTATAGTGGGACGGCCAGAGATGTTTTGCCATTCAGTTGGATAGTGGTAGGAGATGATATTCTTTATTCTTTTGTAACCCACGCAGATACTGTTTCCAGGTTGGGTTTTGAACGGAGGAAGCTTGCTAAGACACAACTCGGATCTTTACACTGTACAGCGCTGACATTTTGATTTCATTCATCCAAAAGAGTAGGTAATAGTTGTGAAGGGGATAGCAAGAGAAAGCTGCCGTAGACCGTGGTGGTCGCCCTCACCCGATGTATATTCTTGACGTTTGTGAATCGAGAGGGAGGCGGAGGTTCGAATCCCCCCGGTGGCACACCTCTGCTTTGTTCCTTTTTTAAAAAACCAGATACGAGGTGACTTACATGAAATATTCTGTTGGGCGGTAATACTTGTCTCGCTCACATAGGGGGAACAAACTTGGCTTGCGTGACTTTGGTTGATCAGGTGAAGTCTGTGAAGATCAATCACTCTTACATACACTGCATTCGTTTAATACCTGTGTAAGATGGTTACAGGAAGGGATGGAAAGCCGCCATGGACCATGGTGGTCGCCCTCACCCAATTCTTCGGCCATTCCTGTCAATTGAGAGGGAGATGGTGGTTCGATTCCTCCTGGCGGCATGAGTCTGTAACATGCGATTTTTTCCTTCTTTCACGTACAGAAGCACGGGGAGGTTGCCATTGATCACCACGCAAACTTTCATTCGATTTCAGATTCATTGTGTCCATTCGATGCGGTACAGTGTAAAGGAAAGCAAAGCAAAGGAAATCAACGCCACCGTGGACCGTGGAGGTCGCCCTCACCCAATTCTCTGGCCTCCTCTGTGAATTGAGAGGGAAGCGAAGGTTCGATTCCTCCTGGCAGCATTGTCTGCAATCGTATCCTTTTTTATTTTATTTTCATCTGGATATAACATGCCTGCCCTACCTAGCCTGCCCTGTCCTGTCCTATTCTCCCTTGTTGTGCTGGTGCCTCGAATCGGTATACAGTATATATCCTGTCGTTAACGCAATTGTACGAAGTACATACATGTGGAGAGTAAGTCAAGCAATGCCTGTGAAGGAGGATAGAAAGCCGCCGTGGACCGTGGTGGTTGCCCTCACCCGATGAAGCGGTTTCTTCACAATTGAGAGGGAGGCGGAGGTTCGAATCCTCCCGGCAGCATTGTCTGTGATCGTATCCTTTTTTATTTTATTTTCATCTGGATATAACATACCTACCCTACCTAGCCTGCCCTGTCCTGTTCTCCCTTGTTGTGCTGGTGCCTCGAATCGGTATACACTATATTTCCTGTCATTAATGTAATTGTGCGAAGTACATACATGTGGATAGTAAGTCAAGTAATGCCTGTGAAGGAGGAGGGAAAGCCGCCGTGGACTGTGGTGGTCGCCCTCGCCCAATGCTGAGTTGTACGAGACAGATCTTGCAGAGGGAGATGGAGGTTCAAATCCTCCCGGCGGCATAGTCAATTCAAGCCCAGTTTTTATTTGATTCATCTGGATATAACCTACTAGGCTACATAGCCAGCCCTGTTCTATTCTATCTCCGTGTACTAGTGCCTCCGCTTCAGACGCATACAGTATATTTCCTTTCGTTAATGCAATTGTACAAAGTACATACATGTGGATAGTAAGTCAAGTAATGCCTGTGAAGGAGGAGGAGGGAAAGCCGCCGTGGACCGTGGAGGTTGCCCTCGCCGATTTCCGCAGTTACCAGTTTCCGTCGGTTGAGAGGGAGGTGGAGGTTCGATTCCTCCCGACGGCATTGCGCAGGATTCCATCTTTTTATTTGATTTATTGCTGAACCTTTAGGTTTGGCTGCCCAGGAGAACATCGATTTTGCGTATCAGTTTTTGATCTGTTTGTCATGAAGAATTGGTCATCACAAGAAAAATTCAAAAGCAAGTGGGGAAAGAGAAAATAAGCAATGAAAACAGAAACATATTTTTCCAACCTTCCTTCTGCGGGAATCGAAGATTCAACCGGCCGGTTGACCCCGAAACAGTTCAAGGACCTATACATGGCCCGAGTGGACTGTCACCTCATCCATGGATGCGAGGTTTCTCCTGACTGTGAAGATGTCCACGTCAAAGAACTGTGTGCGATCCAGGTTGACTTTCTCCGGCAGGTTCTGAATGTTCACTCTCATTCCATGGTCGTAGCGCTCTTCACCGAAACCGGGATTATGCCGCTCCGAATTCGACGCTTCCTGCTGCTACTGGGCTATCTACAGTACCTCCTGTCCCTAAAATCATCCCACCTTGCCCGCGCAAGTCTCAACAGTTCAATTGAACTTGCAGCAACTGGGAAAAAATCCTGGGCTGGAGATGTGCTAATAGCCGCAAAGAAATTACCTTTCGAGTGTCCACTTCTCGACTTCAGTAGCGCAACAGAGCAAAGCATCGAAGCCTACCGAAAATGCGTCGAGAAATGCGCACTTGAATGGTTGCAGCATGAAGTAGACTCCTCAGACAAACTCTACCTGCTGCACGGGCGACGCGAACCCCAAAAGGACATGCCTGCCGCGCAAAAAACTCTTTTTATGAGGCATTATCTGTACATGGTTAAGACACAGACTCATCGCGAAGCACTGACTTCCATAATGTTGTCTACCCATTTACTCGCCTTAGAGAGGTTGCGGTATGTTGATCACGAACATCAATCAGTTCCCCGAGACGAGCGCCTCTGTCGTCTTTGCTTGGGTGCCGTGGAAAGTCCGGAACATGCGCTAGTAGAATGTAAGGCCTCACCTGCTGTCCTCAACCTGCGCAATATATTCCTTGGTAAACTTTTCCGCGCGGTACCCAAAATGCAAACAAAATTGGCTGAACTCTCAAGTGTTGAGTTTTTGAAAGCCATGATTTACGAGCGCTCGACAATTGTTCTGGTTGGAAAATTCGTGCATGAAGTCCTTGAGGAATTTTACGCCGCTCCACTGTACCGTCCAGGTCGGAGAATTGTCTGAAGGTTTTTTCGGAAGCTAACTATTCCAGGTCACTGATTTGCTTCTTTTCGTTGTCTGGGGTCTACCGTGGGGCATGGGGAAACTCATGGGGTCTGCGACTGGGGCTTAGATGGCGGAGAGAGGTCCAGGGGCGATGGTGTAATTTAACTTGCTTTGTACACCGGGATAATCCCTGGAAACCGGCGTTCGTGATTCGGACCGTGCCGTGTAATTCTACCTACCTACCTACCTGTGTGCTAGCTCGTTTCATTCACAGAAGGCAATGCAATTCTGTTAAATTCAATTTTGGTCATTAGTCATTTCTGCTTGATGTTCGGCTCAGTATCCGTTGACGTGGGATTTTCGGACAACGTCCGAAGTTCGGACGTTGTTCGGACATGGAGAGTGATTGGCGAATATTTCTGAGTCTCCAGCGACATCTTTGCTTGCTACTCCTAGTCTCCATGTTGGTTCTTGCTACATAACAAGTAGGGCTGGTAGAGCCCACTAACTTGGGACTGATTCAAAATAATTTTCTTCCGTACAAATGGACACCAGTTTTGCAAGCAGAATCTCAAGGACTCCCGCTCTGGTATACCCTGTTAAATTGACTCGGGAATATTCTGAGGAGCTAATAGGACTACTGTATGAAGTTGTAGGGGAGCGACGGCCGGAGGACCGTGACATTCCCGTCGATTTTCAGGCGACGGAGCCACCGTGATCGTGACCGTCGCGTAAAATAAGCGACGCCATCAAAGCGCGCGCCTCTCAGCACCATTGTTATCTGTAAGTGGAAATTCAAGCATAGTGCTGAAGCCACCAGGAAGAAAATGCACATATAGAATTAAGCTGTTCATGAAAATATACAAAATTTTCTCGCTCTCAATCATGTCTCGCAAACTAGCTGAACCGAACAAAATCAAACCTGTTACTGGGCCGCCTCAGGCTCTCGTTTCTCGAATAGATCATCTACAGAACCTTCTACGCCACCTCCCGTCTGCTTTGCCCAATAATCCATCCCATTCCTTGTACAATTTCTCGCTCAATGCAGAGCGTTTGCAGGAAGGCGGTCATTTTGCCGCTGTCGGGCATGCACTTGAGGTGTCATTCGAGACCCATCGCCTCCGCATCCGGGACCAACCTTTGGTATTTGTGGAGCGAGGCCAGCGCCTCGACGCTCTCATCAAGATGCTCAAAACTGGGGTCAAGCATATGTCTTCTGGAGAGCGCAGCTCGTTCCAGGAGGCGTGGCTTGAAAAACTCATCTCTGCTGCCATCGAATCGGGCGCAAAAATCCCTAGTAAAAAGCGCAAAGTTAGTGACGACACGACGACCAATGACAACGTCCCGCCACCTGCCAAAAAACGTACAGCTGTCATTGTTGTTGACAGCTCTGACGATGAGGCTGCGGCGCCATCTGCCAATGCCACCGCTTCTACCTCGGACCCGTCCGCCTCCTCATCGACATCCCCCTCTGCCATACCATCACACTCACGTGAAGTCATCGGGAATCCTCGACAGTCGACGCTGACTGCTTTTGGATGGAAGAAGGCGACCCCCGAAGAAACTGCCGCGCACTGGGCTAAAGTCAAGGAGGCGGGGGCAGAGCGTCGTGAAGCGGTTTTGAAGGCGAAGAAGAGGACAGCGGAGGAGAAGCAGGAACACGAGCGGGATCTGGCACGACTGAGAAAGCGGAGAGAGCGTGAGCGGAAGAAGGCGGCAGCAGACTCGGAGGAAGAATCTTCCGGAAAACGGAAGGGGAAGCAGAACGCGAACACCGTGTTGCTGCAGGGTGCGGATGCTCTAGCTCAGAGCAAACCTGTCGCAGATATCGCGGATTTATCGCGCCCTCACACACAGGGGTGGAAGAAGAATCGGAACGGGACCCAGGGTGGCGCGGTTGCCGCGAAGACAGCACGCAAGAGAGTCTTTTGGTTCCAGCCATTTCTGTGGGCTATCATCGAGCCTGCTATTCGACGTTCTGACTGGTCGGCTGCAAAAACTGTTGCCGAGCTTCAGCGCGCACATCCATCCCTTTTCAGCACTCTTCATCGCGGTACCGTTTGGAGATGGTTTGCGAAGGGCGAGAAACGTTTGAGCGACATGGCTCTGAACAGCATTACCAGTCGCAGATCTCTTGCTGGTACCGGACGCACCGGGATTCTGACACCGTACCCAGAGATTGTGGATGAGATTGTTTCCGTACTCAAGGCGCTTCGCGTCTCGGGGTGTGTTGTCAACGTGGAGATCGCCCGCTCCGTGATGATACCAATCATTCACAAACACCGCCCGGACCTTCTCTCCAAATTCTCGTGTTCTGAGAGCTACGTGCGCGCATTCTTGGATAGCAAGCTCAATTGGTCATCGCGGAAGGGTACCCGAGCGGCAAAACATATTCCTGATGACGCACCCGAGCTGTGCGAGCCCACATTCTTCCGGCTGGCTCACGCAATTAAACACCAAGATATTCCTGCGAAGGTCAGTTTGAATTCCCTGTCATCTAGGACATTATATTGACGTCCCCGTCTGCAGCTCATCATTAACTACGATCAAACTGGTGTCTACCTTCGCGCAAATGCCAATCAAACTTTTGAGGTGCGCGGGTCTAAGCAAATTGCAATTGCCGGGAACGACGAGAAGCGTGCATACACCCTTGGTGTTGCTAGTGCGGCGGATGGTACACTCTTGCCTCTCGAGCAGGTCTGGGCTGGGTTTACCAACGCCTCGCTTCCCAAAGATCACGCCGACGGGTATCAAGAAGCGATGGATCGCGGATTCCATTTCACATTCGCTCAGAGCAAAAAGCGAACCAGCCATTTCTCGACATTGAAGACGATGAAGGAGTTGTTCATCCACATCATAATTCCCTATATTCAGAGTGTTATTGCCAGTGACCCCGACTTGGATGACGATCAGAAGGCCATCGTTTATTATGATATTTATCCAGTCCATACCTCCCTCGCCTTGCGCACATGGATCTTCGACGAGTACCCGAACATCATCATCATCTTCGTCCCGGGAAACTGCACTGGCCTCCTGCAGCCGCAGGATGTGGGGATCCAGCGTGTTGCTAAACATCATTTACGGCAGTCTCAGCTCAAATACCTGGTGCGTTGCCACCAAGAGCAAGTCGCAGCCGGTATCACTCCGGAGAACGTCAAGTTCACTAGTTCCTACCCTGTCCTCCGCAATGCATCTGTCCGGGCCGCCGTCGATCTTTACGACTGGCTGACAAGCTCTGATGGCCGCACGATTGTCAAGAAGTCTTGGGAACTCTGCGTCGTTCCTGGAAAGCCGGAGTACAGCCTCTCGTATGAGTGCCTGACCAGCCGCGAGACCCGCAAGGCCTTGACCAAGTATCTCGAGAAAGATACAATCCTTGCGGAGGAGATTCGGGCGCGCGTGGGATCAGGTAGCTTGCCGAGCCTCCCAACCGACGCAGCAATCATGCAGCACAATACCACGGATGGTGACGATGTCCCGGAAGCCGAGCAGGACCAGGAGGATTCTGAAGTCGATGATTCCGCCGTCCCGCTCCCAATTGTCGTAGAACGTGTTCTACGCGTCCGAGTACAAACTTCCACCGGGAGATATATTGCCAAGACTGCTAGCATGATGGACGACAAACCAGGCTTGGCAGCGGCAGATGCTGAAGAGGACATTTGGGCATATAACAGCCGAGGTGAACTTTGGACGAAAGCAGGAGTGACAGCTGAAGATTCCAGCTCGGAGGAGGAGGAATATAATTCTGGGGATGATTATGCCCCTGGGGACAAAGAGTAGACGGCCTGGCATCCATAGGGATTTTTACGAATTTTTACGAATTTTTTTCAATGTCACGAATGTTTTGAAGCGACGGCCCCATGGTGACCGTGACCCCGCCACTCGAATAGCGACGCGACGGGGGCACCGTGACCGTGACCGTCGCTCCCCTACAACTTCATACAGTATCAGGGACATCCCGAAATGTGTTCCTGGTTCAATTCTTCTTTTTCGGTACAAATACATGCCAGTTTTACGGATCTATCATAACAACCCAACCATACATCAAACAAACAGAACCTCAGGGACTCCCACTTTGGTAATCCCCATTAAATCGGATCAGGAATATCCAGGGGAGTTTATAGGATGGTTATTGATGTTCAGAAATGTGTTCATTGTTCAGATAATTTTTTTCGGTACCAGTGCACCCCAGTTTTGCAGATCTATCAGAGCAACCAAACATCAGACAAAAAGAATCTCGGGGACTTCCACTCTGGTACCCCACGTTCAATCAACCTATGAATATTCAGGGGAACTAATATGATTCTCATTAATGTTCAGAAATATCTTCCTGGTTCAGAAAAAAAATACACAGCAGGATATACAGTATGTATCATGTTTACTGGCTTGAGCCTCACTTTTGTTCGGAACTCTTCATTGGAGCTTGGTGCCTCTAAGTTTTGAAGAGGCGAGCAGACAGTTCACTGGCGCATCCACCTAAAGGTTCAGCACCCGCCTCGAAGAGGCCTAATCCCAGTCATTCATCTGGATATAACATACCTACCCAGTGCCGTACTACCCTATCCTGTTCTACTCTATTCTATCTCATCGAGATAGTTCCTCTACTTCGAACGCCTACAATATATTTCATTTCGTTAATACAAGTACGTGTAGTTGGTACTGTAAGTACTGACTGTGAAGGAGGGATAACAAGCCGCTGTGGACCATGGAGGTCGCCCTCGCCCAATGCTGAGTTGTACGAGACAGATCTTACAGAGGGAGATGGAGGTTCGATTCCTCCCGGCAGCATCGCCCAGCATCGTTTTTTTTTTTTACTTTATTTATTCATCTTGATATAACCTACCTACCCTGCCCCGCACTCCCCTGCCCTGTTCTATTCTATCTCGTCGTGCTGGTGCCTCCGCTTCAGATGGATATATGTTATTTCGTTAATGCAACTCCAACAAGTCCGTGTAGATGGTAAGTTAAGTAATGACTGTGAAGGAGGAGGAAAAGCCGCCGTGGACCATGGAGGTCGCCCTCACCTGATAGTCCGTCTTCTGGGTTCTCCGTTAATTGAGAGGGAAGTGGAGGTTCAATTCTTCCCAGTGGCGTGAGTCTTGGAATCGCAAGATATTTTGCCATTCAGTCAAATATTAGTAGTGATAGGAGATGATATTCTTTCTAACCCACACAAATACTGGTTCGTTGTTGTGCGTGGCAGGCTTACATTTTGGATGGAGGAAGCTTGTGGAGATGCAACTTGGATCCTTACAGCGTTTACATTTGATTCGTTTATCCAAAGAGTGAGTTGATAATGGCTGTGGAGACAAGGGAAGAAATGCCGTTGTGGACCGTGGTGGTCGCCCTCACCCGATTCTTCGGCCATTCCTGTCAATTGAGAGGGAGATGTAGGTTCGAATCCTCCCCGCGGCATGAATGTGGAGCGACCGACATTTTTCCTTCTTTCATGTACAGAAGCACGGGGAAGTTGCCATTGATCACCACGCATACTTTCGTTCGATTTCAGATTTATTGTGTCCATTCGATGCGGACGTGTGGTACTTGGTGTAAAGGAATTATAAAGGAAAGCAAAGGAAAAGAAATGCCGCTGTCGACCATGGAGGTCGCCCTCGCCGATTTCCGCAGTTACCAGTTTCCGCCCGTCGGTTGAGAGGGAGGTGGAGGTTCAATTCCTCCCGGCGGCATGACCGGAGATCCATATCTTTTTTCCTTCTTTTTTTTTTTTTCATCTGGATATAACGTACCTACCCTACCCCTGCCCTGCCCTGTGCTAATCTATCTCGTCGTACTAGTGCCTCCGTTTCGGACGCATACAATATATTTCCTTTCGTTAATGCAACTCCAACAAGTCCGTGTTGATAGTGAGTTAAGTAAAGTAATGCCAATGAAGGAGGAGGGAAAGCCACTGTGGACCGTGGAGGTCGCCCTCACCCGATGTATATTCTTGGTGTTTGTGAATCGAAAGGGAACCGGAGGTTCGAATCCCCCCGGTGGCATACCTCCGCTGCTTTGTTCATTTTTTAAAACAAAATCAGATACAAGGTGATTTACATGAAATATTCTGTTGGGCGGTAATACTTGTTTCGCTCGCATAGGTGGAACAGGCCGGGAGGAACTTGAATTGCGTGACTTTGGTTGATCAGGTGAAGTCTGTGAAGATCAATCACTCTTATAATACCTGTGTGTAAGATGGTTAAAGATGGTTAAAAGAGGGGATGGACAGCCGCCGTGTACCATGGTACTCGCCCTCACCCTATTCCCTGACTTAGTTTTGTGTCAATTGAGAGGGAGATGGAGGTTCGATTCCTCCCGGTGGCATTGTCCGGGATTGTGTCATTTTTATTTTATTTATTCATCTGGATATAACCTACCTATCGTACCCTACCCCACCTTGCCCTGCCCTGTTCTATTCTCTCTTGTCGTACTAGTGCCTCAGCTTCGAGGGAAATTTTTCATTTCGCTTGACGGGTGGGTGCAACAAGTACGTGTAGATATAGTAGTGCTGTGAAGGAGGAGGGAAAGCCGCTGTGGACCGTGGTGGTCGCCCTCGCTCAATGCTGAGTTGTACGAGACAGATCTTGCAGAGGGAGATGGAGGTTCGATTCCTCCCGGCGGCATAGTCAATTCGAGCCCAGTTTTTTTTTGATTCATCTGGATATAACCTACCTATCCACAGCCGAGCCCTGTCCTGTTCTATTTTCTCTTGTCATGCTGGTGCCTCGAATCGGTATACAGTATATTTCATTTCGTTGATGGGAGCAACAACTTGAAGTCCGAGTAGATAGTAAGTTCAGTAATGTCTGTGAAGGAAGGATAGAAAGCCGCCGTGGACCGTGGAGGTCGCCTTCACCCGATGCGTAGTCGCTGGTTACTCGAAAATTAAGAGAGGGAGGCGGAGGTTCGAATCCTCCCGGCGGCATGGTCTAGGTCTATGCTAAGTTTTTTAAATATGGTGCATGTGCGATGGGCTGCTCCGTTCCTCCTTGGAGGTTCTTGCATATAATAAGTCTCATGGAATAAGATCAGAATGTCCTGGGAAGAACTTGTGCCTTAGGCTGGTAATTTCATAAACCACACTTTCCAGTACATTATTCGCTTCTCCATGGCCAGCATTGGAATACTGAACCAGGAGCTCCCAAGGAATGATCTATATATGCAACATTCAATTTTCAACGTTGTTGTTCCAAGTAGATGCGCTGCGTTTCGGACCGTCATCATCATTCTCGTATCCGAGTCGTCAGTAAGGGAAGGACACACCTGATAGAATGCGTCGTCGTGGACCACGGTGGTCCTCCTCGGTGATATTACATTTCTCGAGTATATATGCACTGATCAGAGGGACACGGGGGTTCGACTCCTCCCGACGACATGATTTCGGCGTGACTCCCGCAAGTTTTTTTTTGCCGATACCGTCGTGTCGGGAGATCTGACTATCCATCAATTCACTCCCGACATCCTTCCTTTCCTTTTTTTCTTCTTTTCTTTTTCAACCATGACCACCGGCTACTATGGTGGCCGACGGTATTTGCCGCTGTCATCGCTGCACGTGCATGTTCAAGGGACGACATATAAATTATGAGACTCGGATCCTTTCAAGGAAATAATCTTTTCTATTAGCTGGCAGAGCTTACAGTTCCATTCAGTTTCTATGAAACCACTTCCCGTTGAATTCTTTCCGAACCACCACCCCCGCGTATCAAATTGATCAGTGGTATTTGCGGCTGTATTGGCTGCACGTGCATGTTCAACCTACGTCATGCTCCACCGACGCGTACCATGATGGGGCCCCGCCTAACAACCTCGCTGCATACCGACTGTATAAAATACCCACCCCACGCGTTCTTCATCATTCTTCCCTTCCTTCCCTCCCCGCGCCTTCCCTCCCAAAAATAAAAGCTCGAAACCCAAGCGATGCCCGTCCTCGCCCCCACCATCCCCGACGGCCAAGCCACCTCCTCCTCCTCCTCCGATGCCCAAGCCCACCCCCGCCCGCCCAAAGCCCCGCCCCTGACATCAATGCCGTCGACACCGGGCCCCGTCGTGCCCGGCGGCTACCCTCGCAACAGCGTCGTCTTCGCCGGTAATCAGTGGGATCGTAGCCAGCGGAGCGGGAACGAGAGCTCTGGAACGGGCACGGGAACGGGCACGGGGTTGCTCGCGTCTGCGAAGACGTACTTGCCGCCCGCCGTGACGTCGTATTTCCGTGAGTCTTGATTCTCCTCAGTTGTTTCGCGCGTTTGCGTCCCGTTTTCGATTTTCAGCGGTGTGCCTGGATGGGGGAGACAGTTCGCACTTGATTGTCGTGCATGCTCCCTGTCGCTATCACCCCTTCGCCCTTTTTCTCGATTTGCTTTCCATTTGACTTGTGTCGCTCACTTCTGGCGTTTGAGTTCTACTTGACACCGGCTACGTTCGTTATTCGTCTCTGTTGCGTGCCGCACTTTACCTCGATCGTCACCCCGCCTTCTTCTCTCTCGCTCCACACCTTCCTTCATCTTCCTCTGCACTTCCCGCCCGCTAACCACCCGCCCACCCCCAGCCGACGTCCCCGCTGCCTCTTCCTCGTCCTCTCCCACCACGACCACAACCACAACCAACCCACACACAAGCTGGAACCCCACCGCCACCGCGCACGCCGGGCACACGCCCTACCCGCACACGCCCCCGCACCTCCTCAACACCGACGGCAGCACCGCGAGCGCGGCGAGCGACTTCAGCACGCGCGCCGCGTACGCGGCCTCGGAGGCGTCGCGCGGGACGGCTACGCCCGTGCCGTCGACTTACACGTACACCGCGCCGCAGCAGCGGCAGGAGGAGGGGGAGCTGCGCCCGCGCGCCACCTCGGGGCTGATGCCCTCGCACCCGGGCGTGGGGAGCGCGCGCACGGGGGTGTCCGCTGCTACTCCCATCTCCCCCTCCGCCTCGAGCGGCTCCGGCTCTGGTACGAGCTCAGCTGTCACCACCCCCTCCACCGCGCCCTCCTCGCCCGGCCCCGCGGTCTCGTTCTCCCCCCAAAGCCCCGCGTCGGCCTCGAACGCGCCGAAGACGAAGACGAAAACGTCGCCGTTCGTGCGGTTCGCGTCACTCCGCCGCGGCAAGGGGGCGGAGAAGAAGGAGGGGGCTGGGCCGTCCTCTTTTGCAGGCCACGCGCGGGGCGGGAGTTTAGATTCCTCTCCCGTTTCCGTTTCCGCGCCCTCCGCGCTCAAGTCGCCCACCCAGGCTCAGGCTCAGGCGGAGGCGCAGGGTAATGCGGCGAACACCACAGCCACAGCTAAGCCGCCAATGCGCAAGCCCTCCCTCCTGCGCACGCTCCGCGGGGAGGCGAAGGTGCTCGCGGGGCGGGTGAGGAGGGATCCGGGGCGGGTGGAGAAGGGAAGGAGGATGATTGATGGGGAGGCGTAGGTCTCTTATCCTCTGGAGGCGAGTGGATGAGGTGAGGGAGAAGGTGGGTGTGGGGAAAAATGCGCGCGACTGATTGGACGCGGACTTGGACTTGGACTTGAACGGACTAAACCGGGGACTTTGTATGCATGTAGAATTGGACTAACTTGTACAGTTGTACTGTAATGTTAGCACGCTCGTTGTTTATCATAGACTGTAGTTGACCTTCCTAATACTCAGTGCGATCATTATTACTCACTTATAACACATCTAACTAACACACCCCGCTCCCCACTCCGTATATCGCCGCCTCGAAGCTACGTCCGGCTGAACCGAATGAGAGAAAAAAAGTTCCTACATCGTGATGTTTCATTCCGTCGGGGGAGTCGAACCCCCACCTCCCT